TATTTTTTTTAAGTGACAGACCCAGGCATTGAAAACTTTATGGTTTGCTAGAGTAGTTACCGAAATAGCAACTAGTATTAGTTCTTTTACCTGTTATAACTTCGATATCCGATAAATCGGTATAAAGTCACCATCGGCACCTCTAGGTGTGGTATGCCTACGGCTGCATGTATCGCGTGAGCGGTTAAAGACTTATTTCACTCAAGTCAAAATTTTAACACCTTCTTAATACCAAACATCTTAATTAAGTGTAACCTTTCTTAAGATTTACTCTTATAGTCCTTATTTTAAGTTCATCTGTAGAACAACTGATTATTTTTAGTAAAGTTGTTCTATACCCATCCAGTAAAGCCTATTAATACTCTAAAAACTAGTGTTCTTAACTTTATTCTAGATATATTTAATTTATAGATAATCTGTAGTGTTTGTACTTATTGACAAACACGTTGTAGCGCGTTTTCAGTAGATTTTATTTAAAAAAATACTACAATTAGGGTTTTTGCTCTATTGGACGTTGTAAGAGTTCACGCAAAATGGATAAAGTAAAGAATATTAAAAGATCTGGTGGAGGTAGTAAACCTTGGATATTAAGTCACATCATTCAATACAATCAGCGTTGCCAATGCCAATTTTTCAAAATCCCCAAAAATCACTATATAATAATAATAATAACGTACACACTCAACATAGCCCCGCACTAGGGAAACCCCGTGTCGCGGGTGCCATGGACACACACGTAGACAACCACAAATTACATCCAAACTCACGAGAGAAATAAATGTAGGCAATACAAATATTTCTCTCTACCCGGGAATTGAACCTGGGACCTCTGCATGGCAATCCGGCATGGTAAACTTTGGCCACGGAGGCAGTAATATTAATTATAATATTAATTAGATTCAGCATTAATCTGTAATCAGTCTGAACAAAAAATCATTTTTCTTTGCCTTACAAAATTAAGTAAATTGATTATTTGTTGTGCATTTGGTGACACTATGTTAACGTTAGAAATAATCAATGAGTTTCGACCTATATTTAATATTTAAAGTTGACGAGTGGTAAGTTGCGGTGTGGAAGTACTAACTGCTCGGCTTTGTTTATCAATAGCTGATTTCGTTTTGCTTCATACCGGGGACCGTCCTAAGCGGGAGAAGAATCGCGAACTCAACATGCACCGACTGGTAATTGTACAATACAGAACCAAGTGCTCTAATAATAATTCTATTTAAGCTGCTTGTTAATAATACGAGGGATGTACGATGTTGAATAACACGTCGATATAGTCCATCACAGTGTTCCTAACAGTAACGATCAAACTAGCGATGCATCAGCAATTGATAGATTAAACAAAATGATAAAATGTTAGAATCCCCACATTTTCCTCACGTAGCGCCAATCCCCACAAAATCCCCTATCTAGTTGAAACTCCCCACAATTTGGGAAATTCCCTACAAATTGGCAACGCTGGATACAATAGTCGTACTTCGCGCTTGGGCCAGTCATGGGCCAATTGTTTGTTGACAAATAAATAAACATTGTGAAGTAATTCCATCTTGTGAAATGATAAAAACAATTGAAATGAGCGCGTAATATACTTCAATGTTGTGTATGTGTATTGTGCCGTCTATCAATAGAATACAGTGAAATCATTGTGTGAAATGTGGTTGGCGTGAAAAAATTACCTCAATTTTGTAATGAAAATTTTATTTCTTCCATCATAAGTTAGGGATGTCATTAAAATATTCCTTATATTTAAATGATACGAAATTTATCCACCTTTCTAGTCATATTATAGCACATTCCATATAATTATACAGAATAACGTTTTTTTTGCGACAAATTTAATTTTTTCCAATTGTTTTTTTGACCTAGTGTTTTGAAAAGTTTTTTATTGCATAAACTCACTTTTTCGTATAACCTATATAAATTTAGTATTATAAAGGTTTTATAATACTGTCAAAAGAAAAAAATCGCTTAGAAACATCGCGTTTTGTAGACAATCATAAAAATCTCATAGGAGGAATATTATTCGACAACTTCAACTACACTAAAGCAAGTAAACATAATCTTTTCGTATTCTAAAGTTTTTCTATATATAAAGCTATAGACAAAATGCTCCAACTGTGTTTTGAAAAAAGCTTTAAATTCTTATCGCCATTTTTATTTTTAAAGAATGACTATGAAGTAGCCGAGAAAAATTTCTTTTCTTTTTAAAAAGTAAATCTAAGTTGAAATTAGCTTGAAGAAGCCTAGAACTTCTTGGAAATGATTTGTTTTGTATATTTAAGCTTTCTATAAATATTTAAAACCGAAAATCGATAACTGTATTTTTATTAAGTTTATATTTTATACTTAAATATTTAAAATTACGCGAGCGCATTACTTTTATGCCAGGTTTTACATCACTTTTCACAGTGTATTTAAAGTCGCACGTCAATTTGCGCTTTCTAACCGATTAAACACTGCGAATAAGGCAGAAATATTATATCTAATTTCGCCATGTTGCAATTTTGATAGTTTATATTTTGTAAGCCATTAAACTTGAAATCTATTAGTATTAAGAGAATTGCGTCGTATGTTTGTAACGCTTTAGTATTTTGACGTGCTTCAATGAAGGGTTTTACGAAATTTTCCCAAAAATCTGGTGACAGAAAATCAACTTTTTATGCATCTTCGTCGAACCTGGGACCTTATCCCACAAGGAGATATTGATAGCCTCATTTTGAGTATGCACAATCGTTACAGATGCATTATAAACATCCGAGGTGGTTTTACAGATTATTAAATTTTATTTTGTAACACATTAATTGTTTCATTTAATTTTGTTTTTCTCTTTAATAACCAAAAACAAAAGTACTTATTTTAGTACAAAGTTAACTTTTTCTATTTTTATATGATTTTTACCATAAAAGTCATCAAAAATAAATATAAAAAGATTTTTTATTAAATTTTCAGTCAGATAATAAAGTACTGCGCATTTTGATATAAGAACGTTTCAAGAACTTTTTTTGTAGTTTCTTTGCAATCCATGAAAAACTAAAATATCCGTAGACAGTGTTGATGAGTGTATTTATAGAATATCATCATGAAGAATTATTTAATATTCGAGTGTGGTAACCTGAAATATTTTTTAACATTTCGCGATGATACATTCGAGTGATTAAATAATAAAAATTGTCATCAAAATTAAGTACAAAAAACTTACCTGAAAATTACTGAGCAAAATCTTTAGATTGTATTTTAGCTACAAGAGCAATTAAATTGAAAAACTGACTTTTTTAATTTGTTTGCAATTAGTCTGCCTGCATCTAATGTATACAAGAGAATAAATTATTATTTACACAATATAATAAATTACTAATAATAATAATAATAACACTAAATCACTCTTATTCTGTAGAAACCAACGATGTCTATGTATTTACTAGCGTACAGTCGTTTGTACAAACCAATGATCTTGTACAAACATAGATACAGTCAGGAAATGCGCAACCGTTACTTTTACATATCACGTGATAGCAAGGATATCCTAACTTTTGTATAATTGACTCAACGACTTCAATCTATAGACAAGAACATTCACTACAAATACATGTTCCGAACAAAACACTATCAATAGTGATAGTGTTTTATTTAAGTGTTGAATTTTGTCAAAGAGTCTATACATATTGGAAATGAGCCAGACAGGCAGATAATATTGAGTGTTTACCAATGATATTTATCCATAGTCGGGGAACTAACATAAAGCCCCTGGCAAAGTCGCTATTATTTGCACTTTACATTTCATTTTGGTTTGACCCAGGAGCCTTCCGCTTACTATTTATTATTATTGTATTACTAAAAAGAAAATCGAATTAAGTAAAAAAAATACAGTCGAGTTGTTGAAAATATTGACGATAAGGACCTTGCGGAAGTCAACGATCTTTAGATTATGCAGCCTAGTCTTATTTATATTTTTTAAATTTAAATATGGTAACCTTAGTAACTATTATAATAATATTATACACACTCTGTTGTTGTGTAGTCAGAACATTCTGTTGCTTATTAATCTATTAATGTATGATTATTGCTTTGTTTTGTTTTGTTTTAACACGCGTCATTACATGCTTGCAAAGCGAGATGGATAGTGAGAAATTTTGTATATTATTTGGCGATTACTAAACATTATAATGCACATATGAATCAAAAATCATAACATTACTTACCGAAACCATGCGAATAATTTAAAACTTTAAATTTATGGTCACACAATTAGTCAAATAGCGAAATGTGAACACACCGATGTAAATTAATTTTCAAAGAGGTCCGCATCTGCGTCCGCCATCTTGAATGTTTGACAATCAACTAAATGATGTGCAGCGGCTTCACTGCACATCAGTGAAACACAGAGTGTACATGAAACGCTGCATCTAGTATGCTTGTATATAGTTATCGTTGATTTGGCTACTATTTTTGTTTTTGTTCTTATTATTTGTTTAATTTCGCAGTAGTTTTTGTGTGATAGTATTTTTTATAAATCTTTCTTTGTCTTTGTTGTTATGCTATTGTTTGCTAAATGTGAATGTTCGTTAAGTGCGTTTGATTACTCATATTTAACTGTAATTGTAATTATTTCGTGAATTGTCCCAAATGTACAAAGTAAAGCAAAACAAGTAAGGACCTCTAAAAGAGATACTTTAGACGTAATATTGGATCATTGTCAGGACGACAAACGTATTCTTCAGTCAACATTATTATTCAATAATTATTATTATATAGTTGGTAATAATATAAAAAATGGCTGATTTAAACAAAGTTGAGTGAGAACTGACTTGTCGTTAACTTCAAAGTTAAGGCCCATTATTCCACGCTGCGTCACTAAGGCAAAGTAAAGATGTACTATTGGTCTCTGAAACACATCTCTAATCCGCGCCGGTTTGGTAGATAATGAATGTAACCGAAAATAGGCAGAAAAGAAAATCCAAAAGAAAAGAAAGGAAAAGGTCCGTCTTTTGTTTTAGCGACCCCGTCAGCAGAGCCTCGGCGGGGTGTTGCGGCGCGAGGGCAACTGGAAGTGTTTCCTGCTGACGCTCATGATCGCCGGGTGCCTCGCTTCCGTCGCGTGGTGTAACACCGCCCAAATCGATCGGGAACTCATTGACCTTAACACGTGAGTAATATATCTTGTTTATTTATCTTAAAAAGCTGATCCCGTCACTGAGTACTGTGCTACAAAAACGAAGAAAATAATCTATTAACTTCCTTAGAATTCGATCTTCACTGCGGGCGATATTCGAACAAAAGTGTGCTATTGACTGTACGTCTTGCGGGGAGACTCCTTTCGACTTTACAGTTCGATTCTCATTATCAAATCACGTTATGTATTTTATTTTAAGCAGTCTGCAAAAAACTAACCTAACCGACTCGTATTGGTACATATTTATTTTGAATTACTGTGACTTAAATATCCCGGGAATTAATTACTTGCTCTTTTTGATAATTAAAGTAATTAATTCTGCTGTGATATCGTTTTAAGCTTTGCACCACCATTTCATATTAATGCCATAATTAACCCTTAAAGCTTCAATAGCTAGTAATATAATAAAATCTAACCCCTATAACAGTTTTGTATCCCTCAGGTACCCGATAAAGCGAACCGTTCGAGAATCACCGTGTGACGTAGGCTACGCGTACATTCCAATTGCCTTCGTACTACTTTTGTACCTGGTGTATCTAGTGGAGTGTTACCATAGCACCGCGAGGATACAGTTGGCGAGGAGAGTTGATGTGGCGGCTGTTAGTGCCAGGGTGCATGCTATGAGGAGTGCAACACCCCGAGTCTGGTAAGTCACGATACATTACCTATACCTACGAATGTACAACAAACAGAACGTATAACGTGCAAAGTTTTGGACCGTCTTATCGTAAACGACGGCAAAAGCGATCTTGAGAGGTGGACCCATGTCCTGGTGAAGGTTGCGCAATTCACTGGTTGCAATCAGCGTAAGACTGGTCCTTGCACCGATGTGCCCAGCGGTGGACTGTCATTGAGTCTACTCTATACTCCAATCCATGTACCTGTCGTATCAAATCCAATAGATGTACCTGTATTAACCGTAGTTAACTTAATCCACTAATTATTTTCTTTTTACTTAATGTAAATTTAAATATTGTAATTAATTTACGAAAACAATTTAATGGAACATATTTTGTATACTTTAAGATTTTAATAACGTGAAAAAGAAGTAGAAAAATCAAATACGTTACGAGTAAATACAACAAAATATTTATAGACCAGGTCTACCAAAGTTCAACCAAGATGTTTTTGATTTTAGCGACATTCAGAAATGTTACCGTATTTTATCTAATACTAAGGCTGTTAACAGTTTGACTGCATGTTTGCAGTTCAGAGCTTTAATTCGCAAAGATCTGAGGGTCACTGCCACTGCGTCCATCACCCTGAGACATAAGTTGACAACTCCTATATGCCCTTAATTTCACCAGCACCTTTAACCTTTCCAATGGAGCGCAGTTATGCTCACATTACTGCTTGGCGACAGAAATAAGTAAGGTGGTAGTATTTCGCTGTACGAACTCATTCAAGGAGTTCAAGTGCTACTAAAAAGGGTTCGGTTTGTGTTTGTTGGATCTTTGTATCAATAATAATAAAAACGTGTTTTCACAAAGAAGTACATTATTATCATGGCAGTAAAAGCATCATGATATCTATGTAATAAAAATAAATATTACAATAAACTCCTGTTCATTATTTTAGTAATCATTAATAAATCATCGCTATTCTCAAAATCACTTTAATTATAGACGTACGAATGAGTGCTACTGCTTCATATTGCGAAATGATATTAAATTATAGCTCACGATTGATCATGCTTCTACTTTTTTTTGGTCCGTGATAAAAAATAACAGGAACCGAAAAAAATATCCGCCCACCTCCAACATATTCAACCTCAATTCGTGTGAGGATCGGTTCCCTTAGCATAATTCCCTAGTAAAACCCCCACAGGAATCGTTACGGCCACCACACGCGCCCCTCATAAATAACCTAATTGCTCGGCTGTCAAGGGTAACACTGAATAATAAAGGAAATTAACAAGAAACAATATACTTTGTACATGAACTTTTGGCAACCACAATGTTCCTACATATATTAGCACGACGCCTGAGTGTGTTTAATAGTGAACGTGTTGGCAATGAATGGCTATGTTAGCCGATATGTCAATGTTTTACGTCAAAAATAATTAATTACATCTGTGAGTCGTATTCAACAATTAAGTAATGGTACCTTGAGCAACATTAGATTTTCTGTGTAACTCTATAGCTACAAAGTAATAATGTAGCACTATTCGGTGCTGCTTCTTATTTTATTTATTATTTTGCAGTGTAAAACACAGCGAGCGCGGACGCGGGACGGACGCACGCGTCCGCGCTCGGTGTTTTGTCGTCCATATAAATACACGGAATCAGACTCGCCGCACAGTGGGCCCAAATTGATAATTCTTGGACATAGGAATAACTTGTGGAGTATCGAGCAAATTTTTTTTTATATGACAGATAATAATATTCCTAACAACTTTTATTCTTGTATGATTTCTTTAAAAGTTGATAGTTTCGGAGAAAAAAATTATTAATAGGTTTTTGTATGGAGAAATATACTATTTTTTCTTGATAGATAATGATTGGACCTATATTGTAAATAAACCACACCCATTACATTTTCCTACATTAAAAAATAAAAAATAAAAGGTATATTTCTCCATACTAAATCTATGATCGCGCGTGATCAGGACCGTACAGGATTGCGCGAGAAAGCCTGCACGCGCAAACGCGTGCGATTACCTGTATGAAGTTTTTTTAAGCTAACGTTCTTTCGCGCGCGATTGCTCGTGTTCGTTTTTATTATAACGGAAAGCTTCAGTGTAAAAGGCAACCTTCAGAACGCGCGATTGTGCGGGAACTAATGAGCGCGATCGCGCGGATTTTCTCTTTTCCTTCCAACGTTTTTACACGCGCTGTCAATCACACACGATTGCTGTATCACGCGCGATAGTCTCTGTGTAAAGGCGGCGATTCTGCATCGACAAGAGTAGTAACTCCGTTATTCGAACTATACTCAAAGTTTAAAGTCGCATAGTTTTCGCCTGTAGTCACGCAATTTATTTAATAAATTTTAAAATAGTCATAGGTTTCGTCCGACAATGGAACATCATGGGTTTAATACGCTTTTTTTCTACATATTACGGTACTTTCTATATACTATGTAATTTCTCCATTAAATAAGTAATATCACCATTACGTTGTGATACCACACGATCCAAAAGTAAGCAAGTCAAAAGTCAGACCAAAAATACAAACACATATTGTCACTTTCCTCGTATTTACAATGTAAATTTGATGAAATATGAACGAAATAACGTTCAATTGTTAATAAAACATTTTGACTGTTTGTATCAGTCGGTTTGTTTGCGGATTTCGACCTTTGTGTGGTGAAGCACGCAATTTCTATACATTGTGAGATATATCTATTGTAATTTAATATCAAGCTGGATCTATATTACTGCATTGTACTGGCGTATCACGTATATCATCTGTTCTAGCCTTAACGTCGGGCAGGAAATATGGAAATCTATAATAAGGCAAGGCCTCTGTATTTTTTGCGTATAAAATACGCTACAATAAAAAAACTCATACTATAATAATCATGGTGAAGCTATGCATTACGGTTTTAAATAATTCTCTGCTAGAAGTCGTGACTCGTAAGAAAATCATGATGATGTTATGTGGCCGCAAGTTATAAGTGCATGTGAAAATAAAAAGAAGTGTAAACGAGATCCTAGATCTGAAGGTTAGTGTAATCGCGATCCTTTTCCCCTTCTTTTACTTGCGAGCTCAGCCTTCCCTCAGCTCTCAATGAGCTATCAAAGTCATATTATTTTGTTTTTAATATATCATCATCACAGAAATAAATCATCATCCACAATCCATCTTCACCTACTGCTAGGTATCCCGTAATTTATGCCATCTACCCCGATCCTATGCTACTCTCTCTCAACTACGGCCCGCGACTTTGGCGAAGTCTCGTTCACCAATCTCGCTACAAGACGTCCCACACATTCTTGACTACCATTCGGGTATCGCTTTACTCCATCTGTCTTCACTACGTCTCGCAATATGTCATACCCAACTCCATTTTAAGTTCGTTATACGATCTTCTACGTCCTGGACCTTAGTTCATCTTCGGAATTCGGAATTCGGCTCCATGGCTCTTTGCGAAACTCTCACTCTGTATACAACCTTCTGTGAGAGCGTACACGACTCTGCAACGTAGGTTTTTGGCAAGATACATTGGTTGAATAAGCGGATTTTAATGTATAACGTCATTAAACAGTGTCATAAATTGTTAAAGTTCTATAACAATTGGCGGTTGGATTTATTTGGGCGTGTAAGATTCTGACTTTTTAATTAATCAGAAACGCCGTTGAAACGTTTAATGCAAATTATTTTAATTAAACAAACAAATAGCTCGGCCGGCCTGGATGGATGTGACGTTTGTGTGATTACCATCGGATAATTACTACACTTTTGGAAGTAATAATCGTAAAGCTTTCTTCTTTTCCCGTTAATCTCATTTCATTTTGGGGTTGTCCTCGTTTTTTCTCCGTTATGTCAACTAGATTAATTTGACATCATTGGGTATTATTACACAAGCTCCGTGCAATCTTCATTGAGTTATTATGCTACCTAAACCACCATGGAATGCGTTTGGGTTAAATAAGCACAATTAGATTTTAGCGTATATATTGGAATGAGTCACAAAATGAAGTTAAGAAAAAAAAAGAACAAAATATACAACGGTCAAAACATATCATATATAAAAATACTTATAAAACAGGCCAGTGTGTTTATTATTAAAAATTATATTAAATATCGAGTTCTTAGGTTTTCGCGATTGTTACACATAGGAAATGAAACTATTTTTCCGGATTTAAATCGCGTATATTTGTTTTTTCATTATAATAATATATAATAGTTATTATAAATCATATAATAAACCAAGAAGCTTTAACAGTCTGTAAGTTTGTGCTCGCCACTTAGGAAACTTTTACTTACATCATTAATCCATTTATTATACTTTACCTACACTAAACTGACAGTTTCCTTGTTGCCTAATTCCTTGTCCCTAGAGTTCCGTTCCAATATTTCCTTTATGAAATATCGTACAGTTTCAGAATAATAAATAATACACTTTTCAATATCGAAAGAACTTTTCAAAGTTGTTATAAGGCTTTACAATTGCTTCTCTATAAAGGCAACATTTATATATATTACCGGGAGTGTAGGTAAAGCTCTATTGAGAGCAACTTGTAGTCGTTTAAATATACGAATAGCGTGAACATGAGAACGGGTGACGTATAACGAAAAAAAAAACACTTTTTATGTATACACTTGAAGATTATGTTTTTGTAGAGCTAACAATTAGAACGTTAACTTATTTTTAAGCACAAGAGAAAGCTACGATACACAGACCGTTTTTAGGTAGCATATGTGCTGCCAGAGAGTCCCGACCTGGTCTATCTTCCCCATCAAGCTTCGTCGAGGTACATCAGCAGAGGGAGCGCGCGATGCACGCCGTAACCTGCAGGTGGCGCCTTTGTCTCGCAGTTCTTCATCATGATGGTTTCCGATATACATTTATAATATAAAAAGAGAATAATGTAAATGACACGTATACATAATATATTCTTTATTTTTAGAAGCAATCTGTAATACGAAGATGTTGAGACAACACTTTCGTTTTCAATTGTACATACTTTTATATCATTATTCGCGTATATTCTATTGTACAGACAGGATAACGTTTCCGCCTGGAACAGTATGCCTTAATGTAGTCAGTCACGTCCTTGTCACCGCAAATACGTACATGGTAATCAGGAGTTAATTAAACCATTTGTGCAGGTGGAAGGCGATATGCTACCACTACGTGCGACGCAAGCGACAAGTCACGAGGTATCGAAATGGCGACGCTTACACAACTACGCAGGTAACAATACTAGTTAATAGTCGATTTGACAGTTGTACTGTTTTGGTAAAAAAATGTTTTATAAATTTATATATTTTTCTTTAAATGGCACATAGAAACACAGTTGCGTCTTGGAGACGCCATGTGACTCTAAGACGCTACAGTACCAAAATCGTTAGGGACACCGTGAGGTTCAAGTACGCTAAAGTATCAAAATCGTTAGGAACACCGTGTGGTTCTAGGACGCTAAAGCACCAAAATCGTTAGGAACATCGTGTGGTTCTGGGACGCTAAAGTACCAAAAACGTTAGGGACACCGTGAGTGAGGTTCTAGTACGCTAAAGTATCAAAATCGTTAGGAAAATTGTGTGGTTCTAGGACGCTAAAGCACCAAAATCGTTAGGAACACCGTGATGTTCTAGGACTCTAAAGTACCAAAGTCGTTAGGGACATCGTGAGATTCTAGTACGCTAAAGTATCAAAATCGTTAGTAACAGCGTGTGGTTCTAGGACGCTAAAGCACCAAAATCGTTAGGAACAACGTGTGGTTCTGGGACGCTAAAGTACCAAAAACGTTAGGGGCACTGTGAGGTTCTAGTGCGCTAAAGTATCAAAATCGTTAGGAACACTGTAGTTCTAGGACGCTAAAACACCAAAATCGTTAGGAACACCGTGATGTTCTATGACGCTAAAGTACCAAACTCGTTAGGGGCACCGTCAAGTTCTAGTACGCTATAGTCCCAAAATCGTTAGGGATACCGTCTGGCTCTAGGACGCTAAAGTACCAAAATCGTTAGGAACGCCATGTGATTCTAGGACACTAAAGTACCAAAATCGTTAGGAACACCGTGTGGCTCCAGGATGCTACAGTACAAAAATCGTTAGGAACACCTTGTGGCTCTAAGACACTACAGTACTAAAATCGTTACAACACCGTGTATCTTTAGGACGCGTGACGGGTCGATATAGCCGAGTTGCTAAGTCAACGATTATGCAGAGATTTTGATGATGACTTTATATGAGTAGCAAATTAAGTAATATAACCCAAAATAAGCACATTTTAATAGCCTAATTTTACTAGTATGGTAAGTATATTTTTATTCATTATATATAATTATGTATGATAAGGTAATTAAGTAAAGTTTCCTTTAATATGGTAATTATAAATTAAGCGTACTGAATACACCAATTAGCTTAATGGAAAAATTACACTCCATTTCCTATTTTGTTCAGTTCTTTACTTTTTTTATAATTATTAATACAAACATCGAACACAAAGAAAAATTCCTTCGACCTGACAGGACTAAACTAAAATAAAAAATTATTCTATAATCAGGGACTTTTTAGCTTTATAAGTGTGGGTTTTAGCGCATAGCATATCGGTTTACAGTAAAAAAGAGGATTTGCCATGAAAACTACGCAGCTGGGCAAACCGATTGGAAATAGCAAGGAGAACGCTGGAATCTAATGCATATGACGAAGGGCTGCTCTATTTTTGAATTTGTCCCTTAATGCTAAAATAATATATCACGATCTTTTAAGTATTTTTTTTTCTTGCAATTATTAATGCAAAATCGAACTGGCGGCAATTTTTTCTTGCTTTGTTTAAATTATAGGAATGGCGTGTGTAACGTAAGTAATGTTAATTAACGAGACTCCGCAACAGGGGTATATGTTATCGTACTGATTAGTTATTTGATATTGCGACTGATTAGGAACGGTTTTGAGAGTATATTTGCCAAGAGAAATTAAGATGTAGAGGCGTGCACGTGGATATCTAATTAGTAGCTTATATTGATCGAACACGTAACAAGTTCATGTTGTGACGTCCTTCGAAAGGTCGCTATAGAGACCTTGAGTATAGATAAATTATTTTTAAATAATTAACATTAAAATGCACTTGCTTTTGACCACTACCTAGCCCTGGACCAAAGATAGGATCTACGATGGAGAGCTCGCCCAGAAGATGCCTATTCACAACTTAAAGATACTCGGGCAGTCGCAGGCACGGAATTCAATTCCTGGACTGTACGCATAAAAAAATATGACTGGGAATGTCGCAAATTATATAACAAATGTTTATAATAAATTTTTAAACAACAGGTCCAATGATTAATAAATACAGTATAAACAGGCTGCGTGTCGCCTTACGCGAGCGGTAAATTCAGTAAAGTAGAAATTCAGTACAATAAGGAAATACAATTTCAACACTCTGTACCAAAAGCCTTTCTTTTGGAAGGGTATATGGTCTGTGAATAACTACAAAAACTATGAACCTTGTATAAAGTTATGAGAACTCATGGTTGCGTGACAAAAAAGAGTTTTAATAGCTCTATTTCATTTGTGTAGCTCCTTGTGAACGGGTTCGTCCAGGGAAATTCTGTCACTATACCTATTTCTGCCGCCTAGCAGTAAGTAACGTAACTATAACTGCCTTCCGGTTTTGAAGAGTCAACTTTTGTCTCAAAGTGACGAGCGCAGAGATAGTGCCCCTCGAATCGGGTTTGTAGCATCTGCGCCCAATATCGGTTTAAAGTTGCAACTGAACCCAAATCCCTATGCGAGTATCGTGTGATCCCGGGACTTGTGGCTTGTTGAAAAAATTAAAGTTTTATCCAGTCCCGGGTTCAGTTGCACCTCGAGAGATCGTTAAATTTGTATCGTCTGAACGCGAATTCATTGTCGATAGATGTTCTTTGCGATTTAAAAGGTGTGAGTGGCATTGTAACTGTTATGAATAGACACCAGGTACTGATTTGCTTATATCATCACTTGATATCATAAAAAAACAAGAATTTGAAACTAATTTGAAATTTAGTAGCAGTAGAGCTCCTTGTGAAAGAGTTCGTTCGGAGAAGTACTGTCACCTTACCTATTTCTGCCGCAAAGCAGCAAAATATATGTAAAACAAAAAAAGATATTCGATAATATTCGTGCTTCGGCTGTAGTCGGTGTGTATATATATATACACACAGAACAAAATTGATCTTCATTAATGTACCGACCTAAATTAGAAAACCAACTTTGCAACACGCAACAAAAACAAGAAACGTCCAGGATATAAGTGACCGGAGTGCTAATTGAATTGCCAAATTGGATTGCCATTTTGGAACAGTACACAGCGACGAGACAGAAAAATCTCTCCATCTTCGATTTAAGAGCTAGGTTCTTGTTGTCCTCAGTAAAACTTTTTTGTGACCTCTTTATGTGAAATGGCCCCAACTTTCTATTGATTTGGTTAAAATAACTTATTCCGGCGATCCTCTTTTTTACAAAAATTCAGAAATATAAGCGTCGATACTAGATAATAATAATAACAATAATAATAATAATCAATCATATATTTCGGACTTCGAATCCATAGTGTTAGTAACAATATAACTTAAAATTTAGTGTGTTTTATGTAACAATTGGGAAGATACATTTTAACATTTATTAATAAAATTCCCTTGTAGAACGGCGCGAGGCGCAGCTACCGGCTTGGTTGAATAGGAAATGTTACAAAAATAGTAACTAATTTTCTTTAATTAGAACTAAAACGTAAATGGTACCTTTTTAGGTAGTACAGCCCCCGTAGCATAGCTACGCATGATAGTCGCGATACGCGCACGATTAAAATTTAAATAAGCGCACGCTATTGGCTGTCTCAATCAGATCTAATTTAGATAGCCAATAGCGCGTGCTTATTTCATGTTTATCGCGCGCGTCGCGACTATCATGCGTAGCCATGCTACGGGGGCAGGTTAGTAAAAATCACGTAAAATATAAGAGGCATGTTAATTAAATCACTATTGAAGTACAAAGTAGTGTCTATCTTTCGCGTAAATTCTCGTAAAATCGTAGTATAATGCCTTATTGTGCTGTTTTGAAGTGCAAAAATGACAGCTGCACCAACAACATTACCCGTTATAGTAGTATTTCAAATCATCGGTAAATCTTATTTTAGTAAATTTTCAATTTTCTGTTTATATATACATTCAGACGTTAATCGTTCGTCTGTCGTTCGTTTCGAATCGTTAGTCCAGCTAGTGGCCTCAAGATGGCAGCACATTGTATAAAATTTCAGTATAAAATCAAAACGTCGTAACTTGCAATAAAGGCATTGAACTTTCAACGAAATATATTAACAATCCAGAATTTGTAACATCTTTTTAAATTAGCAACTTTGACCAATCATTATCAAGATTTCATAGTGTTTATTATTTGTTTGTGTGCGTGGCGATATTGGTTTCGATAGTAATGGAAGCTTATGGCACTTCCATTGCTTTTTTCTTCCGTGATCTCGTTAATTATGCTATGTACAATTTTGTTAGAAAAAATCGATTCCTGTCTGTTCCACGGCAATTTAAATTGGGGCCTTACGAGCTGGATAACGGCCTCGCTGCTGGATGAGCCAGGTTCTTTAGTAGCAGTAGAGCACCTTGTGAAAGAGTTCGTCCAGGGAAGTACTGCTAACTTGCCTATTTCTGACGCCAAGCAGTAATGTAAGGCTTGCTCTGTTGCGGTTTTGAAGGGTAAGGGGCTGGTGAAATTACAGGCACATGGGACTTGTCAACTTGTAAGCCTCTGGAAGACGGTCGCAGTGGCAGTACCCGTCAGATTTTTGTGATTTAAAGCTCAGAGTGACACTGCAATTGTTGTGGATAGGTGTGTCGCTTACAACCAGGCGCACGACTTGTTCATCCCGTCACTTGAAATCATAAAAAAGACGTTCGGGCTAGACCTGGTATTCACAGTACAAGGAATTGCCTAGTTTGAGAACAGGTAATGAACTGATGTGATCTTCTGTTATGTTATTATTAACATAACAGAAAATACTAGTTATAGTTATATCATATAGCTGTAATCACTAGTTATGTATAAATATAACTAGTGCCTAGAGCTGAATAACATATTACGAGCGTTTATTAATTAGGAAAATAAATTTAGTATGTTATAAAATTAAAAAAAAAATTATAAACAAATGTGACCGCCACTTACTATAACAAAGTCCTAGAAATGTTTTACAGAGGACTGAAGGGCGTTAAAAACCACGAATCTAAGGCAGAAAGATTATTCTGTATTTTAAATGTGTACTGTTCCATAATAGCAATCTAATTTACGTAGGTGTAATGTGATAATAGAGTATATTGAGATAGGTGAAGTTTTACGCACCGTAACACGGTAATTCGTTACGGCTACTAAACTAACGTCAAAATACACATCTGCAAAAGAGGATTGGATAATTAGGCAATTGACAATTTCTACGAGAATAAAATTACACTGGCTTCTAAATATACTCACGGACACATAATTGCACCTTGCAATTTTATTTTTAACCTACTTCAAAAAGGAGACTCTCTGTATTTTTTTGTGTATGTTACACGATTCCACCGACATTTGTGAATCGGTTTCGATTATTCTTTTTTGTTGGAGAGAGGGTACCTCAATAGTTGTCCCATTCAAATTTGAAGAAAATATTCCACCTTTAAGGGTGGCAAATTAGGGGATGAATCCAGTTTATTGGATTTCACCCACTTTCCTTTAACCGATTACGTAAAAGTTGGCAAATAATGTTACTGCCTCCATGGCTGAACGATTACCAAGCTGGTCTGCCACGCAAAGGTCTCGGGTTCTATTTCCGGCCCGGCAGAAATATTACTCTCGTGAGTTTGGGTGTAACTTATGTACCCCGCGATACAGGGTTTCCCTAGTACGGAGCCATGAGCGTATGCAATATTATCATTATTTTGGATATCTATTTTAGACTCTCGCCTCTCCATAGGCATCAAAAAAAAAATTAAATGGGAGAGGCGGTATTTAAAAAATAAACAAACTTTTGAGATCAGTTTTCTTTTCTTTTAAATAGTAATAATTATAAATACAAACACATTGTCATCATCGAAGAAAAAGTTTTTAGATCTTTGAAGCAAGGATAAGTGGAAACGACGTTTAGTCTAACAATTTAAAAACTGCTAAATAATAATATAATGAACTTATTAGCTTCCACAGTTAAACTTATATCTCGTACATAAAATACAGTGTTTTTAAAGCATAGGGCATTTAATACTGAAATTGCAAGGTGGCTAGAATTTCTGTGTCCGAGAGCATAATAACATTTGCGTACATACTACGTTCACATGAGTAGTCTAGAAATAATGTTGGTTCCTTTTTTTTTCTATGTGCATATTTAGGGAGACCAAACTTATCGACATGGAACTGCTTTAAGACGGTTAACAGAAGCTTTACGGCTATGTAATAAGAGCAAAAAAGACGTGCGTTATTCGTCTGTGGCGATCCGAGCGCAAGCAAAACGCGCAACATCATTTTCGTGCCTACGCATGGACAAGATTTTTCTGACCAGCTCAAACTAATTCCCAGTAAATAAGTGTGGTGACTCCCTTAGGTAAACAAGTTTATTCTCTCTGTATCTTAAGTACTAAATACTTATTAGTAGTAGAGCATTTTAGCTTATCATAAACTTGGAAATATTCTAAAAAATGTAAGAAACATACTACTTAATGTTTATGAATGTATAAGATCAAAGTCATGAATCAGGTATGTAGGTTTTAGCAAAAGTGGAGCTCCTTGTGATACACTTTATCTAGGGAAGTACTATCACGTTACCTATTTCTGCCGCAAAGCGGTAAAGTGAGCGTTACTGCGTTATGGTTTTGAAGTGTAAGGATGGTGAAATTGCAGGCACATTGGACATGTCATATTTAACTAATTTAATAATTAATAAAAATTAATAATTAACTAAAGCAAAGGAAACGTAGTTATAATGACATCGGGTTTAAATAGTCAAATACAATATTTAGTAGTGTGTTTCATACGTGTTATTACTGCCGTACTCTTTTATTTAGTCGCATATTATTAACAGTCCATCTAAACAGTCTTTCTAAATACTGCCAACTCCTGGATTTTTAGGTTGTTTATCGTAGGAAATTTGTAATACGTGATATTACACATTTAAATATTTAATATATGCCGTATAGATTTAAGCGATTAGAAACATATTTGTGTATTTTGTCCTTTATACAATAAATAAATTAAAAAAAAAAAAGTATTTAGTAGTATTTTAACTAGGCAGTTTGAAATGTTATCTATTAGCTGAAAATATTATTATATATTTAGAACTAGTTTCAAAAAATTAATGAAATTTTACGATAAGTAGCCAGGTAACCTCATAAAATACCCTATCACGGTTTGTTTACATTTAGTTAAGTAATTACCTAAACCTTTAAAGTATAGAAGGGTCAATATTCCTAATGGTTCAGTAATTCGCAGTGAACATAACTTATTACGAGTTGACGGACCCCCGTTAAGCTAATTATTGTAAGCTAGTGGCGACCCACCCGTCCTATGCTATTAAGTAAGTAACTTTTCTACCCCCTTTCCACTTTTCAACTATTTGTCAGCTAACTTTCATGTCAAAGAACGTGGAAATTATGACAAGAGTTCCGAGTTCAGATACTTTGTGAAGATGTTGTTTTATAGACTTTTTGTATTTTCGACATATTGTTCAATTAGTACAAAATGTTCTTTAAGTTAGGATTGAAGGATTTTTGGATTGACTAGCAAGGCATTTGTGAACGATTAATTATTTGGATTTAGAGTTATATTAAACAAACTTTTTACACCTGACTCGGTGACTAAATATTTTCATAGATTCTCAAAGATGGCGCTACGGCTAAAAAGTTGTTGAAAAAACCAAATACAAATATCCGAAAAACAAGCACACAGAAAAATTCGTGACGTGTGCTGGTTCGTTTCTTGGCTTAGTTAGCATGGTGTTTAGCACGGTTTGCTAGAAGACGTCGGTTCGTATCCGGCCGGGTCGAAGGAATTTTTTGTATTAATAATTATAACAATTTTTTTTACAATCAAAGCAGGATTTGGTGTTGTCATGTTTCTTTTTTGGTATTTTCTAATCCATCCGTTAGTTCCGATACCTATAATTACTCCATTTGAGTTTTATTGGCTAATTTAAGTTGTATTTGTATACATGTATATAATATTTTCATTAATTTTACATTTTTAACATTGTATAAATGTTCAAAAAAATGAATGAATGAATGAATGAAATATTCTTTATTGCACATAAAATTACAATTAAAATACAATACAATAGCTTAAGTATAATAAAAAAATATATAATATAAATATAAGTATAGTAAAAAATGATATGGATACAATATATTATATAAAACATGAGTGATTGTTTTTCACAGATTGTAGTTTGTTTAGTTTTCTTTTTTTTTAAACTGTGTCATGATTATATATTTTTTAATACAACACAAGATACTTACTTATTTTTGAAATATCTAACATTTACATAAATTCGAAAACGTGTGAACATTTCCGTGCACGCTAGTATACAAACAGGGTCTGTCGTATAACTTAGATTGTTAATAACAGTTAAATTGTCCTCCTCCAAATACGCCAAATGCCAACATAAACATTTTTGTACCACTTTAAAAGCTCTCTATATCTTTGCCCAGGTATACTACGAAAGAGTAAACACGCACAGCGCAAACACATCGTTCGCACATGCGTGCTGTGGGCAGCGCGATGCTTCACGAAATCTTGTGTTGGACTTGAAGACTCCTATCACGAAGGTTCGGTTTAGCAAAGGCTTCGCTTTTGCTAATATTGAGGCTGCTAGTGGTAAGTAGCACACTAAAAACAACACTGATAACGTCGATAACGCTGGCTACAATACCAATTAATTTAAATTTATTTAGGATTATGGGACTGATTAAGTAAAAGGCCGTGGTTGCCTAATGGTTTGACCTACTGCCTCTCAAGCAGAAGCCGTGGGTTCGGATTTCCATTTGAAAGTTATCATAGGGTTTTCGGTGAATGAAAACATCGTGATGAAACCTGCATGTTGAAGAAGGTTCAACAGTCGGAAAACGTGCGAACTCCCCAACCCGCAATGACCTAAAGCCGCGCCTGAGAGGAGACCGTGCCCAGCAGTGGAACACATAATTGGGTTGATGATTATGACAATGTATCTGTATTTCAAAGATTCCTTATAAAGTTGCGATGAAAATCTCTAGACGATTAGCGACTTTTGCAATTCTCTGTACAATGACTAGTTGTAAAGAGAAAAATTATATGTATATATCTTGAACACTAACATAAGTGAAGTCTATTCAAGGCTTTTAAATTTGTATTACTATATTATATACATTGTATCTCATTCATCATAAAAATGAAACGATTTCATATTTCTTTGTGTCACTATAGAATTACTATCAAAGTCAACGTCTAGCACACCGTATTTTACTTTTTATACTAATGTTACTTCTAATACGAAAGAAAATCCTATGGATCTAAAGCATTAATTGACTAAATTTGGGGCACAGACCGGGGAACATGACTTGTATTTGATATAGTGATCTTCTCAAAAAATATTAAAAATACATCTCCAATACGTTACTATACAAACACTTCATTCCAGATAAAATTGAATCAACTACGGCAAATAATTTCTTACAGAGTTTGAAGATCAGAGGTCGAGATTTTTTGCAGAACACGAAAGGTTTGATGATTTCATGGAAATGCGAGAAGGCTTGGATCTTATTGGCGTCAGTTCGTTCAAGGAATATATGGTAGCATACAGGTAAATTAAATGAATGCATAAACGAAAGAAATTTATAATGAATTAATTTAACGTAGGCTTGAAATCGAATTCTCTTTCCGCAGGGATACTGATCGCTGTCCATGGTATTCGTCTCAACTTCTGTTCTGGACTTTGTCTTGTTTACTTCTCTCGTGGCCTCTTCGTATTTTAATAGAGTGTAATACCGCTTACGTTCATTACACGGTCAGTAAAGTTTTTTATGTCCTTTTATCATTAAGGATTATGAGTACCGCTATCTGAGAACCGATGTTTCGTTGCAGATAACCAAGATTTTCGGGACAAACTACGAGTTGGATCCGAGCCGTCAATTAGATTTAGAGACGCATTTGTCAGATACTTTGCCTCCTGTTCCTACCACAAATTACGCCTGGGCTCTCGCAGATGAGCAGAGTGCCGTGCATCGTTCAGTTTCCCGTCCGAGTCGCGCTCTTCCACTCTCTCATGCTTCTACTGTTGATAGCCTCGAATTATTTGCTGCTATTCGAGGAAACTGTGCCTTAGTACCTTCCTACTCAGAAGCTATGCGAATAGACGCCGCCGTTAGGGAAGATCCTGCTGAGAACCAACAAAACAATGGTGTTTTGGTGAGCATAGAATCTGAAACTAGGCTTAATAGACCAACACTGAAAGCAGCGTCGTTCGATGAGCCATCTCGAAGGCAGCGAGTAACAATTACCGAAACCCATTCTAGTTATAACGTAGCTGCTAGTGCGAGGTCCAACGAGGCCAAGCAACAAAACAGGCGATCTTGGACGGGAGTACTGACAACAGCAAGAAGCGCAAGGCAGATCCTCGAAGACTTTAGGTCGCAAAACAATCCGGCCAATTACGAACGTATGTCAGAGACTGATAGCAATCGAAACGGACAACTTTATTTCTCCAGTGAACTGTCGCCAACATGTTCAAGAGATCCATTTAGAGGACGAGCGCAGACGACGCCAACAGATGAACCGCCGTCGTACGAAGAGGCATTAAAACTTCCAGCTTTGAGAAGACTCACAAGGTCAATAACTGGTACTGAATTAGCGGGACCTAGACGAGCATTTCTGAGAGATGTTCTCGCAAACAGAAGATCGTGTCTGGAGGGCGTAGGAGTACTATCCGGAACGAAAGTAGTCAGGTTGCCGTGTAGTGAGTCGGGTGACGAAACACCGCTATAGCGCTTCAGTGCTCAAGAAATTACTGACTTTTATTACTTTTTATGGTGCAATAAAATTTTGACATTGTCGTTGTGCGATAAAGATATTGTGGTTACTATAATTTACAGTAAGGTATATGAGTAGGTATCGCTTTGGAACTGACGAGTTCTGAAGAATGAGCTTGCGCAATTATATGTAGTACTCGGTAGTTTATACGAAAGGTGTTTTAGGCAAGGGAATTGAAGATCTAGTTTTCATGTTTAATACTTTCTAGAGCTCATGTCACGATAATTCAGAATATTTCACAGTTTCAGACTCATTCCAAAATTCAAAAATGTCATGTTTAAAATAGTAATTATTTTGAAATCTACGTTTACCCTAGAACCTACCTAAATTTTTCAATATTCTATGCTTTATTTAGCGGTCTCGTTTGTTAATATCGCCCTCTCTGCCTACTAAATACGTCCCATTTTTTACTCTACTAACGAACGTTGTTATTAATATAGAAGATTAATTGTAAGTTCGAGTAAAGTTAAGAAGGCTTGTTGTTAACGAACACAATTACGTGGTATGAGGCCGTGCCTTGTATCTATATAGCTCTAGGGAACCTCTGCGTACTGATATTGACTCAATTTAGATAAACCAAAATTCCATAGATTGTACTTTAATTAGAAATACCCGACATGATCTAAAATTAAAATAAAAAACTAAAGATAAAATAAAGACGATTAAAATGTTATGTATTTCCCAAATAATTTAAAAGTTGTAATAATGATCAACGGACAAACAAATTACCTGGTCTCAAAATAGGGTATTCCCTATAATTTATTCGTGGGGCGTACTATAAGTTTCCGGAATGAATAAGAAAAAAATACTATAAATGGTCAGAAATGAATTTATTGTTTCTTAAAATATTCACCGTAAGCGTTATTGCACTTTTTCATACGAATGAACCAATTTTGAAAACATGTATGCCACTCCTCCGTGACAATCTCTGAAACTTATTTTTCATACTCTTCGATAGCTTCTTCAGGTGATGAAAATCGTGGACCGCGTAACTGGTTCATAATTTTTGGAAATAAATAAAAGTCACAAGGTGCCAGGTCGGGACTGTACGCGGGATGACTTATAAGGTCAATGTTGTTCACTTCAAAAATTCATTTGTCTGTCTGGCCGTGTGAGAACTGGCATTATCGTGGTACAAGATGATACGGCGTTTACGGTTATTTTTACGGAGTTTGTCAATAACTTCCGGCAAACAAATAGTCGTGTACCAATCACTATTCATGGTACAATGATTCTCCAAATCAACAGCAGCCACGTGTCCAGTTTTATTTAAAAAAGAAGCAATCATTCGCTTAACGGCGCTTTGCACGCTCGCCGCTTTGGTTGGCTTCGGCTCATCTCGAATGACCCATACGCTCGATTGCTGCTTTGTTTTGAGATCGTAACTATAAATTCATGTTTCGTCACCTATTACTATATCCCACACCAAATTTGACGCCTCTTCTTTGAATCTGGAAAGCATGGCATTGCAAGAAGTGACGATCCGTTTTTTTAGGCCTCAGTTAAATTGTTTGAGATCCACCGAGAGCACAGCATTTTTACACTGAAATGTTTGTGTAGTATCGATTGTATTTGACTCATGCCTATGCCTAAAGATGCCCGAATCTCATGGTATACTACATACCTGTCTGTTTTGATCATACGGCGCACAGCATCGATGTTTTTGTTGTTCACAGCAGTGGACGGGCGACCATCACGAAATTCGTCACTAAGATCCACACGATCGCGTTTGAATTCTGCAAACCAGCTATAAATAGTCGTCTTGCATGGTACTTCATTGCCAAAAGCAGTTTAAAGCCGAGGGAAGCTCCGCTGAGCTATTAAATTACACTTAAAGTCGTAGAAAATCATACTACGAAAATTTTCACGAGTTAAATCCATGGTGATGAAAACAATCAATTTCTAAAATGACGCCACAGTGTAAAAACAAGTGACAGTCAGATGAAACAAACTGTATTTTACAGCCAAAGAGTTCCATTTTCAAATGTTGTAATTACTTTTTAAATATTGTTTATGTGAGTGGCCAGTTCCGGTAAGTTATAGTGCGCCCTATGTAATGACGAAATTAACTTTGGGGGTGCTACCAACGGGCGCTATCAAGAGGTGGTACAGAATACCCAGAAAAGAATTTTAAAAAGTATGTTTCCTAAATGGGTCTTGCCGGGAAACGCACCCGAGACTTTCTCGTTTTGAGGTCTGCGTGCCAATCACTGGGCCATTGAGGTCATCATAATAATGATGTGAGTCTTATTAAAAACCTGCCGTCGTAATCGCGTCGCCTGTATCCCACGTCCAAAGAAACCATTGTTCTGGTCGGATTAACTTGGTAAAATACAAATTAATGTAGAAAATAGAGCAATTAAAAAATTGTTGAGTAGTTAAAAAAGAGAAGGTGCACTTGTAATGTCTTATGAGCTGATTTCACAAATATGATAAGTTCATGTAAACTGCACTCGTAATTTATCTGTAAAGGGGTCAAACATTCTTGGTAGGTACATTCGCATGCATAAGCACATGAATGTGTATACTTAGTGAAATGAAAGCTGGGCTAAGAAATGTTTGTTAAAATCGTCAATTATTTTGCAAAACAAAAATTTAACAAACGTTGAATAATAATTATTTACCAAGATTATTTGATTGTACCTTAACTACATAATGTACATTGTTATGACTGTATGTAACTTATTACAGCTATTCTGGCTGGTTCCCATGTATTAATTATACGTGCCAGACTATCGCAACAATTACCTGGCCTCCAGCTAGGGACTCCCCTGTATTGTAAGTATCAGAAAATCAAAATTAACACCTAGCACTGGCACTACCCAGAATTGCCAGACAAAAACCAATTCAGAAAGAATCTAACCTTGACCCTTCACATTAAGCGCTAACTGCGGGGTCTCGGAGGTCGTCAATGTCAAATGTTATATTTAGGGATTATCATAATCACACTTATCGCGGAATTGATTTGAGCCTGTTAGAAAAAGCGTAACATAAAAAAAGAACAAACTATCTAGAGGATTTTTTTAAATTATTGCTGGCCATGGAAACAAAGTCCTTCAGCCGAAAACATAAACGTTTAATTATATTTCTGTAAATATGGCCACCACAAAGAGGATAGGCAATTTGAGGCTGCGTGCTTGGATTGACTCGGGATTCTTTAGAACGGGCCGATACGGGTATTTTAGTTCGAGGTTCGTATAATTTCGCGTTTTAATCTTCGATTAAGGCACAATAGCACTATCCTATTCCACTTTAAACTAGATTTCACAAAATAATTGAAAGTCAAAATAAAAACGACGCTTTTCCCTCCAAAAGGCCCAGAGCGAATCATCTAGAGGATGCCAGGAAGGTGTTGCTACATAATAATAAGACACCTGTTGCGCTATATTTTTTTTTTTTTTAACCGACTTAAAAAAGGAGGAGGTTATACGTTCAGCTGTATGTATGTTTTCCGACTCCTCCGTCAATTGTGGACTGATTTTGAAAAAGATTTTTTTGTTTTAAAGGGTGTACTCTCGTAGTGACGTCATTGTCACCAAGTTCGATCGGCGATCCCATGGAAATCTAGAAAAATTCTAAAACTTTGTATTTGTATTTCTCCATCAATTGTGCACCGATTTTGAAAATTCTTTTTTGTTTCAAGGTGTATACTCTCAAGGTGGTCCCTGATGCTGACGATGCTGTTCCGGGTTCGGCTATCACAAATTACTAATTATTTTCCGCAATAAAAGTCGACTTTTCACTTGACACAAAACAAGTAACTCAACAATTAATCACCGTCACCATAATAACCAGAAAAAAGAATATAAAATGTACAAAGCTCCGTAACAGTCCCATTATCACCAAGATTTCAGAATCTGATGAGGGGATCCCATAGAAATTGAAAATGGCTGATGAGGTCGGGTTTATTTTGAAGGAAAAAGTTACAATTATTGTACTTAGATTAGTGTTATTTGTTGTCACTGTACATGTTATGTGCAGTAAAGAATATTTCATTCATTCATTCATAATAAGAGTGAAGAATTGTATTTCGTCTGTCTTGTATTGCGACGTTGAAAAGTCTGTTTCTTCTTATTGCAAGGACATAAGGCTGTTTCTTACTGGTTCAAGCCGATTCAATAAGTACAGTGACCCTTGTGGTTCTATTTTACAAGCTAACATCGTTTCATAGATTCAGTAAATAAAACAAAACTACTTTTGCCAAGGAGACAGCTGTCATATTTCAATCGAGTGTTAATAATAAGAGTCAACATAAATGGCTTTGGTTGGTTCCGCATAGCAGTGAAAGCGTTGAATCAATTACTTTGGAAAAAATATACAGCAAAATTGAGGATATGCACTGAGTAGTTAGTATACGGTGTGAAAACATGACACCTAAAAAAATTCAGGATAGAAAAAACACAAATTCACCTCTCAATTTTACATAAATAGAACACGTATAATATACGATGTATATTTTTGAAATGGTTTTAATTTCGTTTGAAAAAAAAATAAATTCGGAAATAGAGCCAGTGTCCCTGCCGTTCGACCCGTCCAATAGAACCAATTCAGTACGGGAAAAATTTTAATTTGAGTTGAGGTAGTATCGACTCGTAAGTCAACATACGTCGAAACTGACACTAGCCCAAAACTAACGGCCGCCATTAAGGAAATAATAATAATATACTCAAACATTTACTATAAAAATTCTGTATTTTTGCGATCCTGATTTGGGTTCTGTAACAAAATATGTTTGTTGTTCCATATACTGAAAAAAATCAGCTACTAAAGTAGGCTAGCAGTAATTCACGAAAATTTAAAGTATATACTTGTATACATGAATTTAAGTCCAAGTAGATAAAATGCTAGTGCGAGTGAGGCATACAATTTGTAACTGTAATTATTAAAAAGTGATATTAAAGTAAACTTAGGATATACATTCGCCGAAGCGCACCAAGTTGATGAACTTTTGAAAT